CAGTCCGTGATTTTCTTGATTTAAAATAGAAAAGTTCACATACAAAAACCTCAACGTTAAAATACATCACATGGCTAAACGTTGTTAAATACTCTATTGGTTAAACGCTCGCAACGGTCGCTCATAACCAATCTCGTGATTAAAACTCCGGTTTAGCCACTTGATAATAATATACCATTGTCCTAATATTTAGATTCACAATTCTGCTTGATAAATGAATGCAGAAACTAATCTAAAATGCATGTACCACATCTAGTAAAATAAAATAATTATAACACAAATATAGCGCAAAAATAGTACCTCAATGGTTGTAATTAATAATTAAATATTTTAATGTCAATTCATTTTTTTTATTAACTTTACCGGAGACCAGTATAAAAAATAATTTCACAAATTTCACTTTTTATGTGTTAATTTTTGGAAATCTTTAAAAACATTACTAACACCATTCCTATCTCAGTGTAAAACAATATTGTTATAAACAAAAGTTTCGTCAAAATAAATTTAAAACTAAATACACATTATACACATACAAATTTGAACATAATTATTTACTTCCTACAAATATTGAATTACAATTCTAACGCCGAATAAAGATGTCCTACTTATATCAATATCATTAATTATTCACCTGACTGAATCAACAATAGAATAATAGAGAACTCCACTGTAAACATTTAGGTTTATACCACCTAATTATGAGAATTTTCATTTATTTTCCATTACGATGTTAGCTTGTTAAATACGGCGTTGAATGAATATATTCCTGTACATGGACGAACGCTAATAGAATGATATCGATTATTTCATACGCGCCTACATGGCGTGCTGAGAGATAAATATCCTGCCAGCCATAAATTGTATCTATATACTCAATGCTCGAAAGTCGAACTCGCTCATTTATTCATAACATTTTTGTGGCACACATTAATTTCAATATGATAACACATATTATATCACATGCTCACGTTGAATCGCAAATCGTCTGCGCGGATTTAAATATACGTATAGTTGTCAAATTAATTAGTTTCTTGTTTTTTGAACCAATTATGTGCGAAATTTGCGAATAAGAATTTTAATTTTACTAAAAATACAAACAATGCACTTAACCGCAACCTTCATCCCTTAGCTATAATCTAAAAATGAATCGCAAAATCTGTTGGAAAGCGCATAACTCAACAACGCCTAGAATAATTTGATCAATTATTTTTTCGAAATGTTCGTCAAAGTCCAAGGATGGTTTTTACGGCGAGATAAATTCGAATAATTGCCGGAAAAACCCTAAAGACAGCTCTTTTCTATAAAATAAAAGTTGGCATTGAGATTCAATCATAATTATAGTTAAATAGTTGAATCCGAGATGGCGCGCTGAAGTGCATTATTAGCTATTCTTTATATAATAAATTTTTTTTAAATAAAATTGCGAATCTTATTGATAAAATTGACATATACTATGTCAAGAAAAAGAGAGTAAAAACGAATTACATTTTTAATAAACACTACCGGGACGAAGTCGCGGGTAAACGCTAAAATTGCTTCTAATTTGTTACCAGGAAATATAATATCAACGGTTTGATCTCAGGTAACCTGAGTTGTAACTCTCCATGATTGACACATCAATAATTGCTGCTAGCATCGTAACATTTGTGACGAATGGAATTCGTCCCCAGCCGACAGTGGCACATAATTCAGAGGCAACTGCGCTTCATTCTCGTTTGATTGATGCTCGCGGCTGTCCCTAGACGGAGGCGGCCGGGTAATTCGATTAGAAAGACACAAAGTGCGGCGCGCGCGAAAGAAGCCAGCGCGAGTAAGGCTCATGCTCGAGGATGCTCAGCGCTGCCATGGAAATGACACCACTTTATGAGCCCATGCTCAATTGCCTACACTCGAAACGTTTCATCTTCGCCATTTATGCTCCAACAAAGACCATAAATTAGTAAATAATGGAGACGTTCAAAAAGTTGTGTGAAAAACACCAAAAACGCACCTACATTAACGCAAATGTGATTAATAATCCATAAAACTGATATTATCTACGCTTGGTCGATTTATTCATTGATACGATAAGTGATGAATAAAGCACTCAGCTCGTATAGTGCGATAAGAGTTGATGTAGTTTGTGTTATGACAAAGTTTCATTTTTGGCTTGCGTCCCACACGCTTGAGAGAGGATTATGTTGCGTGTGCGATCTGTTGAATTCGGGAATAGTGCCAAGATGGTCTATGGCAATCCCCCCTGCCAGGCTATTCATCATCAGTTGGAACTCTATATCGAGTGGACATGTTAAACAAATGAACACGCTAGCCACTAGTGTTACACGCCATGTCTGTTTGCACTCTTGGAATAATCGATATCGGCACATCTCAGGCATGCCATCATCAATGTGTCGCCATGTTTAAACAACGCAAACATCATTAAAATGCGAATGGATGAAATTTTTTTGTTATGGAATGTTGAGGAATAGCTGTAAAATTTTCTTAACGTAGGAATAAGGTCGTTTCTATTATTCTTTCACTAAAAATATATTATTTTTGGAATATTAAGAATATTCTTTGGGTTACGTCATCAACATTTTAAATCTATACTATAAAAATGAATCGCAAAATCTGTTGGTAAGCGCATAACTCAACAACGCCTAGACCAATTAGGCCAATTCTTTTTTAACGGTTTGGTTTTTATAGCAAGAAAATTTTGAATAATTGCCGAGAAACCCCGAAAGACAGCCCTTTTCCATAGGACAAAAGTTGGTGCGCTGAAGTGCATTATTAGCAATTCTTTATATTATAGATTTCTTTCTTTATTGATAGAATTGACACATACTCTGTCTAGAACAAGAAAGTAAAAATGAAGTATATTTTTATTAAAACACTACCGGGACGAAGTCGCGGGCAAAAGCTAGTAGGTATAATAAATAAATGGAAAGAGTGTGAATTTAACTTAAGTTAATTTAATTTAAGACTAGGAAACTGCTGTGTCAATTGGCTACCTTCGATAATAAAATATTTGTAGAAATCCAATGAAACTTCAAAAAGTGAGAATAATGATAAAATTTGCAAGAAATATAAAAAACATCAATTTTATTTTCCTTCACAAACTGATCGATTCTGTCAAAACTGGTTCGTTCAGATATTAATTTTGCGACTAAACTTATAAAGAGAAAGTCCGAAATAAATGTTTTTATTCTTTACTTACGTTTTTTTTTTTGCAAAAATATAATTCGAAAGATGTAAAAAATGAGAGGATCATAGTTATATAGTATTTCTTATTTCTATAAACTAAAATTGAGACTCTTATTGAGAAAGTGAGCACATAATATATATGTTCAAAAAACAAGAAAGTAATTACTTAAGTAAGTAATTAGTTAAGCAACTTTTTATTAAAATTTATACGCACAAAATCACGAGTAAAAGCTGGTGGCACATAAAAGAAACCAAATGAATTCTATGAATCAAGTGGTGCCATCTACGAGAAAGTAGTGTCTTAAAATCTTAAATATTTACTATCGTTGCCATAAAACAGACATAACCCGAGTTTGGATAGTTCCGGACAAGCGTAAATTGAATTAAACTACTGAAGAAATTGCTAGAAAGGTGCGCAAATTTCAGTGAAGTGGCATTGTCCATTAAAAATTCAAGTGGTAAACGGACCAGACCTAAATCTCAAGATTAATCTAAACTCCGTACACTTGTACGTATTATTTCTAAGAATCAATTTCAAAAATTTGTGTTAGCAATTTGGAGTGCCTATGCTCCATTAGTGGCTATGCTATATACTCGCTACAATTGTATGCAAGAATTAAAAATTAATACGTTATAGGTACATATCTGCTTTTTATTTATATTTTCAGATATGTTTGGATAGGTGAAATTAAATAATTTATATAAATTGAATAAATTATTAATATATTTTGATAGTTTTGAGATACAAAAAACTAATTTTGCACATCTTTATTTATTTATTAACTTAATAATATATTTCCATTATTTTTTTATAATTATAAATTTACAATGTAGTATTTTTGATATTAATTTGCTTGGCATGGCATTTGCGTAGCACTATAAACTATTAATTCTATTAATGAACTTTGTGTTAAAGTTTCAGCGTATTCAATAAATAAATATAAAATAATTTTATCTCTTCTGATTTATGTTCATAAAATTTTGTATCTCGTGTGTTTTATCAAATAATTGATTCAATCTCTTCGCAATTTGTACCTACTTACCTTGAAGCCTAGTATTTGCGCATTGCGCATTGCATTATTTTGAAAATAAATCGTCCTGATTTTATAACAAGCAAATTTTGAAAAAGACGTTTATAAAAATATAATACCCAAGTAGTTTGTTATCAACAAAGTTTTCTTTTTTAATTCTTTTTTAAGGGTATATCTCAATATTGATTTATCTGTGAGTACCTCTGAAAGTATGACGCAGAGGACTGAATCAGCACATTCAACAACATATTTGTTTAGCAATTTGGTAAATGCTAAAATACAATATGCTATGTATTCGCAAAAGCAATAACTAAATGTACATCATTTTCGTGCACACGGTTTATTTTCCAAATCCTACAGGCTTGTTTACAGTCTCAATATTACATTTCCATCAACGTCAAATGGCAACTGACTGAAACAAAGCGCAACTGAACTCTGTTTGATTGTTTGTCATAAACTTGCACAAGTTGACGACTGTCCCAAAATATTTGACCTAACAATCAAATAGAGAAAAATAATTAGTAATTTTGTGTTATTATTGTGTTATTTTAGATCGTGCGCTTATTAAAATATCAGCACGAAGAGTTTTGAAGCTATTTATTTAACACAGCTTCAACATTGTGAAAAATATACACTTAGTGATATTCGATATTGTAATGACTATTTAATAATAATTTTGAACAAAATGGTCCAGATTGTTACAACTAAATCAAAAAGATTTGAAATTTTTGGATCCGTCAGTACATTGTAAATGTTTTCATGAAGTAAGTTTGTTATCTAAATAAAATTCAATTTTTTAGTGAGCAATGATAACTATGATATATCTCCGAGTATATATTCAGCAGAGTTGTGAAAAACACTTTCCATTATATAATATTTGTCACATTGGTTCATACTGAAATACAAAATGAAAGGTAAGATATAAATTCAATACATATATTATAATAACTTTTACAATAACGATTATTTCTTTCTTTCATTATGTTTCAGTTGCTTTACAAATTGTGGCAGTTTGTCTATTGGTCCAAGTGGTCTTAGCTGTGAAAAGCCCCACTGAATCTGTATGCGACAAAGTGTGCGCTCAAGAATCAAAGGAAAAATTGCCTTATCCGGGCGACTGTACTAAATTTTGTCATTGTGGAGAAAATGGCAACTTGGGAAAAAATTGCCCAGCTGGATTACACTTTAATCCTGAGTTGGAAGAGTGTGACTGGCCCGAAAATGCTGGTTGCATTGACAGCCTACATTAAAAATGTGTTAATTGTATGCATATAATAAATACTTAAAATGTTATTGGTGTAATACCTGATTTTAGTTTGAACTCTAATGTCTATGAAGTGTTTACTAATTAAACCTTTGCATTATTTCTGAAAATGCAGTTCAAAAATACATTTTAAAACAATGAAGAATTCAAGTACATACTTCCATAAAAAATTACACATAGATAAGATAAAAGATATATACACATATATATAAATTACGAGGAGCTGAGTATTATTTCATATATAAAATACAAATATATTGTTCAACAGTGCGAGTATATCTCTCGTTGTTCAAAATGAAGGGTATGTATTTAAATTTTGATAAGTATCCATTTGGAATGCATCACTATATTTTTTGTCGTAGTGGTTTTTCAATTCGTGGCTGCTTGCTTATTGGTCCAACTCGTCTTGGCTGTAAAAGGCTTAAATGAATGCGATGAATTGTGCCCCGATGAATTCCCCATAATATCGGGAAACGTAGCCTATCCTCCTGATTGTACTAAATTTTGTCAGTGTGGGAATGATGGAAACTGGCTAAAGGATTGCCCTGTTGGACTGGAATTTAATCCTGATACAGGATTTTGCGACTGGCCTACTGGTCTTTGTTAGCATTGACAGCATTCATTATAATTGTCTTTAATGTATACAAGACATAAATAAATGAAATTTTATAAAAATAGTTCCAATTTTTAGTTATATTCATACCTAATTTTTTTGTAAATAAGAATAAAGAAATCCTTGAATTCTTTGAAATCGTTGATTTCATTATTTCTCAACTTTCGAATACTTGCTAATCGATTAAACTAGTAGTAGCTTCTAAAAATTTACACACACCTTGCAATTAAAAACTAATCTATCCTGATGATTGCACTAAATATTTCCTTTACTAACACAAAAAAAGTAACTAATTGGAATGGTGCTTTTTAATAAAAATTAATAACCAACCAGAATATGCATTAATTTCCTTAATAAAACCAAAATACTTAAAACTATACTATACTATACTATATCAAATATTCACAACCTATTCATACCAGTAAACCTTGAACTGAAAATTATCATAAATTTAACTACAAAAACATTGTTCTTTCTTCTGATACCTTGGTTATAATTAGAGGAAAGAGGAAAGTTCGCCAACTGAGTGCATGTAAATTCACAAGATTGATTCAACCATTAAAGGTTTTTTTTGTGACATTTTGAAAATCAATAACTGATATATATTTCAATTATATGTTTTTATTAATTGAGACCGGATGTACTTAGTTTGTTATCAACATAAAATTCAATTTTTAATAATAAGAATTGATAAATAATAAAAATGTTTCTCTGTATAAATATGTGTTGCGATTTGCAAAATTATATTCTATTATACTGTGGTTTGTCTGCTTGTTTGCTTTAGTTGCTTTGCAAATTGTGGCTGCATGCCACATTGGTCCAGCTGGTTTTAGCTGTAGAAGGCCCAAATAAGTCTTGTGCGATGAAGTGTGCCCCTCCTGATTTGGATGTATGGGACTGGCCTAGTGGTTTTTGTTAACATTAACAGCTTTCAATATGTAAGAGACTCAGACTCTTAATATAAAAATATTTAAATTAAAAATTATTTTCTTTATAGTTGTAAGTTGCAAATTGTTAACAATTATATGACACAATATGCATCACAAATGTCACACGATGACCGCTGCGTACTTTATATTAAAGTTAGAATGACATCACACAAAAAAGCTATATTTCAGACCGGCCAGTTATGCGTAAACTTGTACGTGTTAAATTCTGTTTAGTGCTATTTAACATGTTAGAGTATTCCTGATATCAATATTTTTTCACATTATCACTGTGGTGTACCTAGTTGCGTGTTAGATAGCAGTATTACTTGACAAAAGTTTGCAACTAAAGACAACTAAAAATATGTACCTATTACTTTAATAAACTCTAAATTATTTATTTAATGTACACATTATACACAATTATAATGAAGGCTCTTTATGCTAACAACGACCCGTAGGCCAGTCGCATACTTCCATATCAGGATTAAATTCTAGTCCAGGATGGCAATCTTTTAGCCAGTTCCCATCATTTGCACAATGACAATATTTGGTACAATCAGGTGGATAAGCTATAAAGTAATTCGCTTCTACTGGTACTTCATTGTGGCACAATTCATCGCACTCATTTGTGGCTTTTACAGCTAAGACGAGTTGAATCAGCAGGCAAGCAGCCACGACTTGGAAAACCACTACGACCGAAATTATAGTGATTCATTCAAAATGAATTATCAAAATTTAAATACATACCCTTCATTTTGAACAACGAGGGAATATTCTCAAACTGTTGAGCAATATATTTTATATTAGAAATTATAAAAAATTGCGTTATTATATACATTTTTTATTCTTTTCAATCGGCAATTTTCTGTGGAAGTACTTGAAATCTTCATTGTTCTAAAATGTATTTTAGCACTGCATTCTAAGAAATAGTACAAAGGTGTAAATATAAGGAGTATGAATCTATTTTGAGATTTAAGTGCATTGAGTTTGGTGAAGTGTGCCTCCGCTCATCATTTTTATTGCACAATAGCACATCACAGACATTTGAGTTTGAACTAAAAACAGGTATTACACCAATAAAATTTTAAGTATTTATTTTATGCATACAATTAACACATTTTTAATGAAAGATGGCAATGCAATTAGCGCTAAAAGGCCAGTCACAAACTGCTAACGCAGCATTAAATTCCAGTCCAGCAGGGCAATCATATAGCCAGTTTCCATCATTTCTACAATAACAATATTTGGTACAATCAGGTGGATAAGCTATCATCAGATTCTCTAGTACTGGATGGTTATTGGGGCACAATTCATCGCACTCAGACTTATTTGGGCCTTGATTAGCTAAGGCCAATTGAACTAGTAGGCAAGCAGCTACAATTTGTAAAACAACTATAACAAAATGTTAAGAAATAGTAATGAATTAATTTTGACCTTCAGTATCAATCAGACAACTTCAACTTCATCTTTCTACTTATATACCCACAAATATTTAGCATTAATCAATCCTCATTATTAAAAATTAAATTTAAGATTAATAATTATTTCGGATTTCAATTAATAAAAACATATGTTTCAAATACAAGTGCTATACACACGTTATAAATTCATAGAAAATTATATTGACGGAAAAAACTTAATCAGTTATTGATTTTTCATTTAAAGTATTACAAAACTGTAGCAGTTTTCCGATCATTCTTTAATGTTGATTTAATCGCTGTGTATGTATAATATGTACCCCAGGGCGCTATTGGCAAACTGTCCAATTCCATATGTAGTAGTATCAGATGTAAAAGTAATGTAAAAGCATGCGTAATATCCAGTAATTTTCAGATTTTCAGTTTTTATTAATTGAAATTTGAAGTAATTAAAAATATGAAATTTAATTTTTAATAATGAGGATTGATTAATATTAAATATCTGTGGGTATATAAGTAGAGACATGAAGTTGAAAAATTATATTCGTTTACACTTTGTTTGCTTGTCTGATTGATACTGAAGGTCAAAATGAAGGGTATGTATTCATTAAACTTATACTACTACTAGTCCAATTGGCCTTAGCTGTAGAAGGCCCACATAAGTCTGTGTGCGATGAAGTGTGCCCTCCCATTGTGCACACAGCAAATTTACACTTACCATTTCCTGGCGATTGTACCAAATTTTGTTATTGCGGATATGATGGAAGCTGGGAGAAAAATTGTCCTCCTGGACTAGAATTTAATCCTGATTTGGAAGTATGTGACTGGCCTAGTGGTTTTTGTGGTTCTGTGTGCGATGAATTTTGCCCCAATGTGTTTCCCATAAATGAGGATAACGTAGCCTATCCACCTGATTGTACCAAATTTTGTCATTGTCAAAATGATGGAAACAGTTTAAAAGATTGCCCTGCAGGACTGGAATTTAATGCTGCGTTAGCCGTTTGTGACTGGCCTTATAACGCTAATTGCATTGACAGTCTTCATTAAAAATGTATTTATTGTATATACAACGTTAAGACCTATAACTTTACTGATACAAACCTGCATTTGAAACAAATATAATTTACTGATAATCATTTATTTGTATTATTTTCATTACTGTTTGCACACTATATAATTCCAAAAATTACGTATAAAAGTAGATGGATATTTTCTTCTACTTTAATCATTTTAAAATGTGTTCATATATACTCGCAGGCAATTACCTACTGTATACATTTAAGAAATTTAAGAGATTTTAATTTATGTTTAAATACTCGAATACAATAAAGAGGATTTATTTAAAAGTTGATATGGGCTGTTTTTTTTTAATTTTGACTGTTTGACTTCGGTTCCCATTTAATTTTACTTAATAAACATCCAATTGAGTCTAAAGTTTGTAATACAGTGTGAACAAATCAATGCAGAAATCATATGTACCTATATTTATATTTTGCAGTTAATAAATCCAACCTTTTAGTAGTAATGTTGTAATTTTATAACTGGTTTTAAACTGGTAAAAGGCTAATAACAAAATGGTGAATCTTTTACTGATCAAAATCAACCAAACTGATTAAAGTAAATCAATTGAATTTGAAAACCGGATGGTGATTTATTTTAAATAATAAGTGTAAGTTCTGAGAAAACGTAAAACGCAATTTAAACATTTATTGATTAGATTAAAATTAATTAAGTGCTTCAGAGAAATTGTGTGCAATGTACAGGGCCAGATTTAAATGCATGTTTCTTTTTCAAATGTTTTGCTCCAGCCGCCTCGTATGTAACTATTCCATTGTTACAGAGAGTTGGTTTACGTAAAACGTAAAATTGTGATTGTTCATAACTTAATGTTTTACTTTCTAAACTTATATTAGTATTTCAACAACATAATCTAATTTAATAGTAAGAAAATTCATAAAATGCAACTTTTTTTGCTTTTTAAAATAGATGCGTAGTATATGAACCCAAACTAATCATTAATTATCCTGAATCACAAACCTTGCGGTTTTCGTGCCACCAAGAAACTAATTTTCGGCAAGTAATTATAACTTTCCCATCGCACTCGAGCTGGCCGCTGTGGGCGCAAATCGGATTTGATTTTAGTTATGCCCACGTTGTCATCCTGAACGCTTGTTTCACATCAGCGAGGACAAAATTCCGCATCACCACATCGTCATGCGCGCGGTTAGTCCTCTCCGGGCTTAATTATTCACAAAAATCTCATCATCAAACATTCATCCACCACGCAACGTGCGTACGCGCACGCAGCCGAAATTTGAGGTTATGGACGCAGCAAGAAGTCATTTTTGCGCGATGGCGCGAATCGGATCGGAGAATCACGTCGGAAATGAATTTTCGGCGAAACGATCCCCCGCATTCCGCGCGATTAGGGGGCGGCGGGCGGCAAGTCTCGACCTTGTTGGCTAAATTTAGCCCCGCCACATTTGCAGCGATATCCCCGCTCGACGCGCGATCAATCATTCGTCCATCCGCTCTTTTACATGTTCCGCGGAGCGTTGAATTGAGGTTAGATTTACATATGATTACATTATACACACTTTCCGCCATTTTTGATATCGAGAAGTGCGAATAAAAGTTTATAAGGTTTCACTCGTGATAGTTTTAGATTTACGTGGAAAATCACACGCCCAAATAGTGACCGATCGATACCATACTAGAAGCTATGAATTATTACGCGTAATTTCCGCCGCGTATCGCGTCGTGCGTTCTTAATTCCTCATCAGTCTCCGTATTAATAACGCATGGAATTGATTCGCCGGATGGTGATGATGATGGCGACTGGTGGCACGTGGCGACGCGCGTATCGATTGAACAAACTTTTATGTTTGTAGTGCTTTTTTCTTGTTTCGTTTCAATTGTTTATCGTCTAATACGAGTACAAGTTCCTTTCACGTGCAGCGTGCACCTAGAGTTGTTTATGCGAATTGCGCCGAAAGTAAACACGACATCGCATTGCAACGGACTGCAATCGATAGAGTATTAAATGTACAATCACAATATTTGTGGTTTCTAAGATATAAAAATAAATTTCACCAAAATTTCAAATCTTAATATTAATATTAACCAGACCTCCACGGCAGCTAAATTTATAAATTAAATAAATTAAATGTTTTGATTTGTTGCTTACCTACTACTGGTTCAAAAATAATTCGATATCAAAGTTAAATAGCAAGGAAAATCGTAAATAAAATTATATTTTTTCATACAAACTGATCTTACCTGTCAAACAGGGTGCGTCCAATTTAAACGATTAAATCAAAAGCAAATATGACTACCTACGATAATAATAGTGTACTGCATCAAAGGAATCAATGCTTTATAATCTGTAGTGTACCCGTGACAAGTGTTTGAGGTGGACTATTATTTTATAAATATAAAATGAGTGATATGACCATTTTGCGCCTAGTAATCCCATTGATGATTATGCGAATTACACGAAAGGTAAACATGACATAAAGCAACGATAAACCGCAATCGATTGAGTATAAACTGAGGAATCACCTCCACTGACATAAATTGCCCCATTTTATTATCCTTGTGCCTAGTTAAACGTGTGACGTAATATCTTCATATTTGCATCACAAACTACGAAAACAATTTCCATGAAAACTGCGAAATTTATTCGAAAGCAATTTGCATACATTAAAAGTATGATAATTAAAGTATTATATTTTGTAGGAATAATCCCTTCTGCTGGCTTTGCGCCGGCGTGATAGGTATTTAAAGTCTAGCATTAGTTTGCATAATTTATACATTCATTAGTTGTCACCGGCGTGCCAGGATCTTTTTTACTACTGTACCGGATAACTCCGAAAGTATGCGCCGCATCGTCCTCCAACATGCTGCAATCGATAGAGTGGAAAACAAGGAATCCCAAGACGCAGGTAGAATTACGCGAGCACATTCGCACGAGTTTCTAAATGCGTGTAAAGTTGAATGTAGGGAAGAAATATATTTGCAACGCAAAGTTCAGAGCTCATTTCCACGTAAATGGAAGAACTTGCGCGTTTGCAACTTGCACACGTGGAACATAAATTGATCAAAGGTACAAAACTTGCAAAATTGGTTCTTTTATATTATTTTCGGTATGCATAATAACTGCGTTTAATATTGCTTCCAATAAAATTGTATTTGCAACATTTACAAAGTATCACTTAAAATTTCAAATTAATTTCATACTAATTTGAATTGAAATCGATAGAGTATTAAACCGTGAATCGTATGATTAAAGTTCAATTGCACCAATATCCTGGCTGGATATGGTAGAGTCCTATAAAGTTCCGGCGGTAATACACAAGCGACAAATGTCGACTCAAACTTTGAAAGTAATTTCCGCCGAGATGACAAAAGTTACAAGCTTGCAATAAATTTTAATTAAAAACAACTTAAATGTTGTACAAAACAAAATAATACATATTGCACTAAGTAGTGTAATTTAATTGTAATCAGCATTTTAATCCCAAAACACAACTAAATATTAAAAGTCGAGTGTTTTTCACTTGAAAATGCAAATTACTCGCAAAATAAACATTGAATTATACTACACTACCCTGCAATCGATAAAGGAGAAAACATGACATGCTGAAAGCGCACTTGGGTCCTACCAAGTTGTTTGTACGATTTACTAAACTCATGTAAAGTTTGAAGTTGAATTGAATCACTTTATCCGCGTCGGGCCAACTTTAAAGTCATATTGCGTACAAATTACTTGCGATATTTTGTTGAAAGTTTTTTTTAATAAATTGCGTAATAAATTAAGTGCATTGTAGTTCAAAAACAATTTTTGTATGTGTTGGAATCATGGCGTTGTAAAGTTTTTTATAAAAAGTTTCAGTGAAAAATATTTTGCTTCATTTTCTTTCATATTTTCCCAAATTGCGTTGTCACTAAATCAAGTATTGTATTGCTATAACCTGGAATCGATAAAGGACAACATATGAAATAACACAAAGCACACCGGACGGTTTCATAAAGTTTATGCGAATTTCTAACGTGATGCAAAGTTTGACGTCTGGCGTGCCGCACATAAACTTTAGACTTAGAAGTTTTCGTGAAAACGGCCCTCGTTTCAAGTTAGTTGTAACTGACATGTGTTCGAAGTTGAATAATTATAGTATAACCTCACGAGACGTTCATTAGTTTACCTAAATTAGTTTAGCAGCGTCATAAATTTAAAAATTTTACATTAATAAATCAGTATTTTAGGGAATAAAATAAATTTGCTAACCTGTTATTCGTTAATCCAACGCGTGGGAGTGTGCACTCTAGTTATTCCATTGGCCGGCACTTTTCACACTGCGCGCACTGCAACAACAATTAAAGAAAATCTTGTGGCGTGAGTTGTACGTGCGTCGCACGAGTAAACAAAGTTTGATTGGCGCGCGCGCGCGAGGATTCGCGGTTGCCTACCTGCGTAATGCGAGTCTGGAACGCATATGGGACTTTTCGCGCTTATGTAATTCCCGTCGAAGTGGGCGCACGATGGGCGCACGCACCCGGGGGCGGCGGTAAAGCGTCGAAAAACGCACACGTACTCGATGCTTCTGCGTGTCCAGCGAGACGGCGTGGCACACACGGCGCGTCACGAAGAACTGCCGCAGCGCGCGAGACGCGGAAGCGCCGAAACTCGCAAAGAGTCCTCGTTCGTGCATTTGCCGCATTCTCCTTACACCCCTTTACGAAATTTTACGCGTAAAATAACGCGGTCATTCATTATATGCAACCAACATAACACATATTTAAATTAGTAGTACAACTATAGTCCACTAGTCGCTACGACACTTGCTATTCTTGGCTAATAGGACAATTTGAAAGTAGATGGCAACACAAACTTGTATAATTTGTAGTATTTTTATGGGTCAAATGACAAGTAGATGTCGTTAGGGATGTATGACAGTTGACGTCAAAAATTTCACCTCTCTAGAAGAACGCGCTGGTGGCGGTAGCAGTGCGTGTGGCCATATGCATTACTCGGGTGCGTAAACGTCGTAAACATTGCCGACCTTTTTGGATAACTTGGCGCTCGCAGTGGCTTGGTGCTATTCAACAATTTGTGTGTAATTTGTGAGTACGTGGACTAAACAATTGTCTGTCGCTGTATAGCGGCCCATGTTGACGAACATCCAGCCGGTGAAGACGACGACCACGACCGCCCCCACGTTGACGAGATGATCATCGAGGATCCGGACGCGTTCAAGACGTGGCTAACAGCCGTGCTCAAGCCGATGTAAGCAACAGCCCTTCAATTGCGCGTTTCGATTCTAACCAAAATGTTATGACATACTCATACTAATGTTGATGCTTCTTGCAGATGCGTTGCAGACCCTGAGGCTCTCGCCAAATATGTGATTGCCCTGGTTAAGAAGGACAAGTCACCTGATGTACTTCATGTGAGCATGGTCAATCAATTGCAAGTGTTCTTACAAGAAGGTATGTAACTAATGCTGCGACAAAATGTTTATCACAGTCATATATAATAATCTTTAATTCCTTCAGAAACGAAACCATTTGTGGATCAATTATTCCGTACTCTTGATAATCAGACGTACCTCTCGGGTGGCGTACCCAATGCAAATCCACCGAATCCATCGGCAACCTCGCTATCGAAATCGGAACTACCAACCAAAGCAGCTCTTATTAAACCAGTTATACCCGTTGCAGAGATAGTCGCATTATCCGAAACTCTGAATGGGAAAGGTTTACAATCTGCTCCAGTTGCACCGAAACGAGAAGAAGAAAAGAAAGAGCTTAGAGTAGACAGTAAAGAAAAGGATATCAGCAAGGAAAAAGACGATAAGACTGCACGGCGGAGACCGCGAAGAAGATCGACGAGTAGGGGACGATCAAGATCTCGGTCGTGGGACCGAGGCAGACGTTCACGTTCACGTGATAAAGACAAGCGAGAACGCTCGCGAGGATGGCGCGCGAAGAGTCCTTATTATCGCGGTGGCCGGTATCGTAATCGATCACCGCCGCGATCCAGGACGCTCAGTCGTTCGAGATCACCGGATGTAGTGGTTGTTGAAGATGAAGCCAACAAACCGCCTCAGATTCCATCAGCGGTGGTGCCAGCTGGCGGGTTGGAACGAAAGCGACGCTGTCGTGATTATGATGAGGAAGGGTACTGCATGCGTGGAGGTATGTGTCCGTATGATCATGGCGTCGATGCCGTGGTTTTGGAGGACTCAGCGTTGAGTACGGTGTTATACCGTAATGGAGCAGGTGATGGTATACTTGGTCCACCGCCAACTGCCGGACACATGTTGCCTAGACCCGGTCCGCCTCCGGTCGAGTACAATCCACAGGCGCCGCAGATGTGGCATCAGCGTGGGCCTGGCGGAGGTGGTTTCAGGGGCCATCGTGGTGGACTTAATCAGGGACCCCCGCGTGTTAGAGTACGAAATATAAATTTATACTTTATTTATTGGTTAATATATTGTTTATATTTTACAGATGCCAATGGGGCCTTTTCAGGGTGGTGGTCCGCCCCCAGGGGCAATGCCTTTGCCAAATATGCAACGCGAACTGATATCGGTGCCAGTGCTTGGTAGTGAAGCTCCCCCACCAATGGAGAAGTATGGTTTCGGTGCCCCGTCCATGCAAGTCGGTGGTTATCAACCGGATAGTGGTGGTGGTCCTGGCGGTAACGTATTTAAAAAGAAACAGTTCGATTTTAATCGTCTTGGAGCGAGAGCGAAGAATCCCGCGAATTGTTCGCTGGAGTTGAAAAAAGTGCCGCCTGGTTTGAATAACATTACGCATCTCAACAATCATTTTGCTAAATTTGGTAAGATCGTCAACATTCAGGTATCCTTCGAAGGCGATCCGGAGGCGGCAATTGTAACGTTCTCTAGTCACGCTGAGGCTAACGCCGCCTACCGCAGCACCGAAGCGGTGCTCAACAATCGTTTCATTAAGGTGTTCTGGCACACGGGTGGCGCTGGTGGTGATGGGAAAGATGGCGGCGGGATGCAACAGATGGGTTTACCGCCAGTGCGCTCTATAAAAGAACGCCTGGGGCAAGGGGGTAATGTGCCGCCCAATTCGAATAAATTTCTGAATGTGGCCCATGCGCAAGAGAAGGAGAACAATGTGAACAATCCCGACAGTGGATTGGAAGAAGACAAAGAAGTAATCGCCGCTCAGAAGGAAGAGCGCGCCCGTGCCACTGCCGCTCGTGTGGAAGAACTAAAGGCGGCCACTAAGAAAAAACAAGAGATACTGGCGGCCAAAGAGCGCATGAAAAAGAACCAGGAGGAGAAACGCAAGCTCACGCAAGACCTACGCAAACGCAAACAGGATCTTCTCGAGAAACAACTTGCTCAGCAGAAGCTGCTTATCGAGAAAATGGCAAAATGTAAGCTGATTTTATTTCATCCTGAAATATTTAATAACTTCGCTTTATTTTCAAAGGTCCGCCCGGCCCTCCGCGTGATATCTTGATGCAAACCATCAAGAAATCGCAAGAATCCATTGAGATGATACGGAAGGATCTAGCACAGGCAGTGCTCGCGTTGAAAGCGTCAACAGTCACACCATCGGGCGGTGTAGCTCAACCCAAACGTAGTAAAGAAGCCATGCAGAAGGAGTTGCTTGACGCCGAGCTGGATCTCATCAGCAAACAGGCCGAAGGCGTTGACACCACTGATCTACAGAAGAAGCTGTGGGAGTTGAAGGCTCAAGTTGGTGGTGCACCTCCGGCAGCTGGTGGACCCGGGCCCATCACAGGCGTGGGTAGAGGACGTGGTCGAGGTGCAAGGCGATTCAATCCGCTGGGTAGGCACAGACTCGTGAAAAACAATCTCAATGCTGATGGTAAAACCTATTTTGTAATACTGTTATGTGTATAGTATCTGAAAACATTTTTTGTGTTGATTTTGAAAGGTCAAGCGGTGAAAGCGCATGCGCTGGATCACCGCCCCACGCGTCTACTTGTCAGCGGTTACGAAGCGGATGAGTACGCTGCAGTGCTGGCGCATTTCCGTCACTTTGGCGAAATTGTCGAGTGCGAAGCCGATGATGCATTGCCCAGCGTCGTTGTGGCGTACCGCACCCGCAAGGAGGCGGAGCATGCCCTCGCCAAAGGTCGACACTTTGCTGATAGGACGCTTAGCGTCACATGGGCAGGCCCAATTCGTGCCGCTCTGCCAACTAATGCGCGCGGTGCCCTCCTAGGCGAATCCGATGAAGACGAGCAGCTGCTAGATGGAGAAGCTGAAGACGAACCGATGGAGTCTGGTATAACTGAGGCCGACTTCCCCGAGGATGTCCTACTGCAGGACGACGAGGAGGAAGAGGAGGAAAACGAAGATCGTTCCTGGAGGCGATAATACGCGTGCATGCCTAGGTCTTAAGTGAACATGTAAATATCATGCGACACTCTTTCACAAACATTTGCACACACACACAAAGACACGAAAGTTCAACACATGTACAAACTAATTGGCGAGGAGTCATGATTGCAGCGAGGCGCGTTCGGTGGCAGTAGAATGCTTTTGTTTCGTAGTTATTTCTTTTGTTATCATATTTAGTTCGACCTTTTTTTTATTGAATGCGTAGGTTTACTTTTAATGTGTTTTTTGTACACATGATACAGACAAAAACACCACACGCTTAATACTGACGATTCATTGTGTTTTCAAAGAATTGACTTGAGTTTGTTAAAAAAAATGTGAAAAAAGCTTGAAAAGATCGGTTAGCCCCATCTAGACGAATGAAAAAAAAAAACAGCAAGATTGAAAAAAATAAGTGAAGATGCAAAAAAATGATTTGCACAAGCAATTAATTGAGAATAACAAATCCATATATATGTATATTGTATATTTTATAATGATAATATTGATTGTTAATGATTGTAACGATAACTGATATGGAAAAAACAAAAACAAAATATGCGAGTAGATGGGGTAACATAACAATAACAAAGAAAAAAAAAAAAAAAAAATTGATACAATTTCAAATTGTTAAAATGCAATTCATCGACTTCAAGATGGCGGCGGCAAAAATGGAGATTCGAGATGGCAGCGACAATTCAAGATGGGAGACTTACTTATATTAAATAATTTATTTCTAATGATAATTGGACTTTATGTTGCAGATATGCATACCGTCATGACGTCACCTTTGAGTTCTCGATGAAAATGATGTCCTCGTCGGTGCCGAATGCTCGCCGTGACTCTTCGAAAGTTTCTAGTGACATCACACAATAATCTACAATTGAAAAAAAGGATTCATAAGTATAATTGTTGTTGATGTTCTGAAGCGATTTTTAACTTACGATCATGCCGTGCAGGATTCCGGTAGTATATAGCCCGAGATCGCAAATCGTATCCGCACAGTACGATGAAATGCCCAAGGTAGGCGGGCGCCGGTAGTGGAATCGGCAAACATTTTCGAAGTTCCACTGAAAGCCGATTGCGCTTACACACTGGACACGCAACTCTTGACGAATCAATCAGCGCAATCGCAGGTCCACGACGCAAGCGCGCTAGCACTCCCGCGAGTGTCAATGACGAGCGGCGCACGCGCAAACCGAGTGCTTCCGCTTCCGCAAATCGCCGGTTGACTCGGTCTTCATCGCTGGCGAAGATTGACGAGTAAAACGCTGCTTGCTTGTATCCGGTATGCGCACCAAGAGTTAATGTGTAGAATGCGTGCGGGAGGGCGAAGCGGCGCAGAATATAGCACAGATCTATCGTCCATGTACTGGAAAAAATACCTATTTTAATTTAATGTTGTACCGATTTGATAATGCGGAATATCTTACCTTTTTGCTATGCCTTCATCTTGACATATACTATGAAAGTTTGTTTCAAGTTGCCGCGCATGTTGTTCCGGTAATACCATCTGCACGCAAGCGAGTCCGCAGTCCCAGGCGTAGCGTTGGCGGTGGTGGCGCACCTCATGCCACACGGTACGACGTAACATTGGTAATGACGGCGGCGGCGGCGATGCTCTCGTATCGCGTCTATTCTCCTTGTTGGCGATAACGCCGCGATAAGCGAATTCGCGACGCATCGCTGCTGAATCACTTACACTACGCGACTGATACAGTTTCGCATTGTGCGGAATCGACGCCGTCCATGTATACTCAAGGTGGACTACCGTCGGCGCATCCTTGACTTTCGTAACGAGCGCGCGGCGGCCGCACGTTTGTTTTCGTATTCGCGAGATTAGGAAATCGAGAGTTTTGGCCGACCTTGACGCGAGCGTTGCGATGGTCTTAACGGCAATTACCTCGATTACCTTCCATTCGTATTTTGAACGCAAGCAATCACGAAATAATTTGAAGTTGCACGATACTTCCGGTTGTGTCTCAAAGTTTCAAATATTTGAATGGTGCAAATAAAATGAGTCGTTACTACATGTTTGGTTGCATATACAAAATTTATTCAAACTGCTCATGCGCATCATGCAGACCGATATCGTAGGGGGCGCGAACATCGCTAAAATGGCAGTTTTGATCGAGTCTGGGTTGTGCTGTCTTCGTTTGACTTGTAACGTAAATTACTAGATTGGAGTGAAACTATATGCACGAGCTGAATTCTTTTTCGTTTTGTAGGTTAACTCTGGCTTCACTAAAAATACTTCTGTGTTTACAGCAAACCACGCTTGATTCGCGAGATTCGTCAATTTTGAAGTTGTACAATAATCAAGTAACCGATGCCCCGCATGGCAACAATGTTGTTTTCTGACGTCACCAAAACCTAGTCACAGCTATCGTGATCCTCGGGCGAGTTCAATTGTTTGTTATAAAAACAATTGATTCATTCAAATATCGCAGGTGGCTGTTGTTGCCTTTTAAAACAATATAAAAGGGGGCGACGAAACAAAATCAGAGTCAGTAGCAAATTCGTAGCTGTTCTCGCTGCTTGTCGTTGTCCGCATCCACTTTTCTCCGGTGGTGTTCATTGTCTCTCATTAATTAAAAGTGATATTTTTAATAATATTAAAAGGCCTATTGATTGTAATCAATATTTGCAAATCAGGGCTATAATTTCCGAACAATTTTACTCCTCTACTCGATTTGTTAACTTCGTTATCGTGCATTTATTGCTGTTATATTTTGTTACATAATACTTTATTGTAATCTGAGGTTGTTGCACAGGTGTGTCAGCATATAGTCTGGAATTCATTTCCAAGCAGTTGTACCTTCTGTTCTCAACGCCATCATCAGTGCGTTTGTTGTATAGAAATATGACAATATTTCACATATGAACAAGGTTTTCCATGAGGCATTTATTTTGTCCCAGGACTTGCGATTGACATATTTATTTATGTCATCGCGGCTTGCTTGATAATAAACCGTGCACGATCATAAACGTGTTCATCAACTCTTATATTCTGAAATGTTTATAAATATGAGGAAATATGGTCGAATTTTTAGAAATCTCTTTCTTCTCCAGGTGTTAACCGCTTTAGAGGCTCTAGTTGTTTTCGTAAAAGAATGTTTAAGGAAGAAGTCGTTAAAAATAAAATGTAAACTTAATAGCTTCCAGAATTCTCTCTATATTGGAAGAATAATCGGAAGTTCAAAAGATAAGCATTTAAAAAAAAACTAAATATTTTATAATAATGCTTGAGTCTTAAACAAAGCACTGAAAGTTGTTCTGTTCTGTCGCAAGGATTTTCAATTTGTGGTTGTGCTTTTTCTCACTTGTAGAAAAAAATTGTAGGTTTGTTCTAGATGGAACGAAGCATTTTTCGCACAAGTCTCCGACTTTGACAGCATTGTCTACGAATTGCCACTGCTCTCCGAAGTATTTCGAGAGAAATCTTATCAAAAATAACATTCCTCCATATTCTCTATATCAAATCATGTCTGGGTCAAATTTTCCTCCCTCCATTATTCCGTGACGAATATTTTGATACTTGGTACCAAGTAAGCAAGAAAGCACATGTAATTTTATAAATTTATCTGCAACATTCACAAATTATTTCTTCAATGTGACGCGACCCCTATTGGGTGATATGCGTTGCAGCTGTTTCATCTATTAACCTCGATAAGAGGCGGAAATAACCCGTATTCGCTTATCGGGATCAAAATCGGGAACGATTATACTACATTTATTTATAATCAATGAGGTGTAATCCGTACATCATTTTTCCGACATGCACCGACTTAGAGTTGTCTATAAGATTTTATCTATTTCACATATACTTTTAACCGTGAAGATTGATTCGCCCAACTGTAATGAATAACAGCCAGCTCTGATCTTTTGGCGTTTTGGGCCTGTCTTTCTCTATAACTGCTAGCTTCGGCAATGTGATTCAAAAGTATTCCTTCAGCTTCGACTGAACGCGGAAATCTCTTTTACTTAACTCTTTTATTAATTTGTATGTTAAGAGATTTCTTAAAAATATTCTTCTTTAAGCACGTCTGAAATTTAAATGGTATTTATAATTTCCACGTATTTTTGAATGGCATCGAACCAAATTCAGCTTGGTTGGTTCGGGGAAACAATAATTCGACGCATCGTCGTTGATGTGGCCTTCGAAATTGTGGGTATAATACCCAATTTACACGCAAAGTAATTTATAGAAAGGGTAGTTGTCCACCACTGAAGAACACAATAATGCCTATATTATGGTTTTGTTGCTGTTATATCTGGCTACGTGTATTTAACATCTTATCTGTCAAAATTTTGGTCTGTTTTTTTGCGTTTGAAAAGCGCATAGTAATAACGGCGCTGGGTAACTACGGAAGGGCCGCCATTCGCATATCTTGTGCTGTTATCTTGGGATATTGTTTATTATCTTTGGTTTTGTTTTTATATCTGTTTATGTGCGAACAGTACCACTTTTTGCCAAGTTTTGCGTTCAACGGTTTCTCTCTCTGTCTCATCTCTTTTTACTCGTGTTCCATGTTCGGTTTCCGTTCAGTCTTAAATATGTTTCTAATTTATTCGATCTTCCGGACCTCTTGCAGCACTACAAGGAGGAGGGTTTTGTGGAGGTTTAAGAAGGTACAATATTGGTCTTTTATATTTAATTCAAATTTGTGGTGATTACATTCGATGATAGCCAATAGTTAAAATCAATATTGTAAATATATATTTCGGTATACGTTTATACGTTTTCCTGCTGGTTATTGCCCTCAAAATGGAATAATTTTCCTGGTTTTGTTTTATATATATATGAAGGATTCTTTTTATATTATACTGGGTGATTACCTCGATTATTGTGGAACGCTTCTGAACATGAACGCAATTTAACTGCTTAGAACCACATTGAAGCTTTTTGCGAAATTTACGCAGCATACAACAACAAGCTGGATGATGATACGTGCTTTATTTAGACGGTATAAAATATGAATTATCGTTTAGAAAGGTCTTCATCTCGCGATTACCTGATACAACAATACTTATATTTTATATATTCCATATTTAGTATTACAGTTTGTTTCAACATGAGTTAAATCTTGCTTTTATATTACCTTTAGTCCATTTTATAAGTCAAAAGAAATATCTCGGTAATTTAATTCTAGGTCAACTTTCAGTTGAAGGCTGACTATTTACGCATATCATTCTACTCGAAACACTTGTATTTATGTGGAACAGATTCAATCAAACCTTAAAACTCTTCGGGGTGCAATTCTGCATGTAAAATTAACTTCACAATTGGTTTGGCCCTTCTATTATTTTTGGGTCCTCATGAAAACCCACCTAGCATTCGGTTTGCATATACTTATATTGTGCAGAAATTTCTAGCTGACTTGGCTTTCTTATTCATTTTATGTTTAAAAATAAAATATGTACATCGCGCGTATATTTACTGGTCGCAGACTTTCCTATATATATAATAATTGTAAAAAGGTACTTGAACTTGAGTATTTGTGTGGTGTACTCGTATTTTCGGTTTTCCTTGCTTAATCAAGAGCTTCTAGTAGTAAGGTAACGTGACACCACACGACAGGAGAGGTCTCCTCTTCAATTTGTTTCCTGATACGTCACTAGTGATTAGGATAGCCCTGCTTTCTACGCTGGCTGCCGCGAAAGTGGTACCAGGTATAAAATTAATTATAAAATTTCGCACCCATAGCGGTATATGCCTGTGTGGTATAATAATTCTTTTTATTTACGAGTATGGCCAGTAAGAGCTGGTCGACACACCTTTATCCCCATTATTCGGTATGCCAATAATCATTCTGCGTAAAGAGTTTGCGCGGATTATTTTTTGTCGGAAGTTCTTCGCGAGAGCGTAGCGGACACATGTGGCTTCTTCGTCGACTTACGATATCATATATTCTTACGGATTCATCTGTCGTATTTCCAAATAGTCCCCAATCTTGCACATATACGCAATATATAACGCAATATGTAAGTGGGTGGATGCTTCCGGGATCTGCCACCACAGAGGTACCACAGCCCGTTGGTTGCGTCAGATACCAATTGATTATGATTAAATTGGTGAGTACCAGTACTGGTCCTATTATTTTTTCAAAAATCGTTAACCAGTTTGGGACAACCTCTTTTCCGGCATTTTTCTATACGATGTAAAATGGTGTTGTTGAATATAATAGGTATATATTGGCCTTATAATTACATGATCTTCACTAGAAGGACTGCTCTGCAGAAGTGTTGAGTTTTCTAAACCCTGAAGCCAGGTTTCTGGTTAAAGAAAAACACAAAGCTCAAAAGTTTAACTAACGACGATCTATTGCCACAATGACTGTAAATTGAAATGACTTACTGATATATCGCATTTTGCCAGTAATATTGTAAAGGTTAGCGCGTTTGCCGGTGGAAAAGCTATACACAATACAAATATGCCAGCGCCTACTATGGGACAAAACATCGGTCAGCAACTAAATATAACCTTCAACACAGGGGTGTACCCCGAATGTTTTTCTCATCATAGTTTTAAGGAAGAGTATTGCTTGATATATAAATTTAATATTTTCTCTTTTGTTACCAATGGTTTTATATTAATTGCGATGCTTTTGGCGCATAAATGTATATATATTTGCATAACTGAATAAGCTCTTTTCGACTTAAGGAAGGTTGTTCACCATCAAAACGGCAAAGCTGTAGATATTACCAAGTCGGCGATATTGTCCTTGAAGGTTTTAAAAGTGTACAAGGTCTTGAAGGTTATGATTTGCGGGAATATAACATCGTGATATTTTGTCATGGAATTTGAGTATGTATACACAAATAAGCAATACTATTGGTTTTCAGGTTCAATTTATATATTATACTGTAAGTTACTGTAGGTAGGTGATCATTTCGAAGATGATATTGTATTTAT